CCTTCCAACCCCTAACGTTCTGTAATTCTGTAACTCCAGGTTAGCCAGAGCTTGTGTAGTGTTCTTGACTGGTCAGCAGGACTAGTTTATTTAAGCTGCCTTCAAAAATTAAATTTCTCTGTATTGCCAAGCTAGGTTATAGAACATTCATTTACTACAGGTTACTGAGCTCAAAATAAGGAATGGAAAGTCTAAAATCAACAGGTTCTTACAGAGAGAAGAACGCGCCCACCTGAACAGGGCCAGTCTTGCCCGAGCCCCGTGTGCGGGTGGAGGCGACCCTTGGCAGTGTGCCGGCTGGTGCCACTGTGTGCCTGGCTGGAGGGCAGGTGGGCGCTGTGGCGTTTCCGTGGCACGTGAGGGGGTCCCCTGTGAGCCTTTACCTTGAGCAAACTCTACAGGTGGGTGCTTCCCTGTTACAGCACAGAGGCCTCCTTCTCTGAGCTTCTCCTGTTGCTTTTGTGTGTCCGGCATTTCCTAGGCAGTATTGCATTAACCAAACTCCAGAACGGGGTGCGAGGGCACACACCAGTCTGTTTGCCCTTTATCTACCACAGACCCTTATGAATGTCCTCGTTGCGTTTTTCCATTCAGTTCCTCATATTTACAACCCCATCAACGGCTCCCACGAAGCTGAGAGACCTCTCTGTTAACCCTGTTCTGGACAAGGTGGCTTCTGTCAGACCAAAGAAGAAAGAACATGCCGGGACATCTGCTTTGCTACTCCGGGAACTGCTTTGGTGTTTGTTATTGAAAGATTTTGTAACTGAAGATAAAAAAGGTGATTGACTGCCTTGAGGGACAGCAGTTGCTCTATGGAATTTCTCTGTATCTCCCTCTAAATCCTTTGCTTTGAACCTACGATTTTCCTCCTGTTCATGTTTTATAGTTATCCTCAATACAGCTGGGCCTTGGTTTGGCTGCCTCCTTCCTGAGCAGGGAAGTGAGCTCTGTCTTTGATAAAGATAGAAAAAATTGTCATTTTTACAGCCTTTAAAAGCCTATTCCCCTCAGTGAGCCTAGCTGCCTCGCAACAGCAAGGTCCTAGGCAAATCCAAAAGCATGCAGGTGAGGAAACTACATGCCTTTTGGTTGGTGAAGGAATTTCCAGGTGAATTGGTCAGATATTCAGAATTACCACATGCTGTGCATATCCTGTAGCATATGTTTTGTTTGTCAGGATGTGATGGATCTTTAGAATTAATCTGTTCTTTTAAAGGCAGTCACATAGGATTTTAGCTCTCTTCAGTTCATTAAAATGCACGAGTCTCATATGTTTGCGTAGATTTAACTAATTATTTCAAAATCAGTGCTACAGTAAGTACTTTCACCTGATTTTCTGCAGGCTTTTAAAATATACACTTTGGTCCTTATACCTGCAGGTGATTCGAAGTGAGAAGGCCCAGTCTCTCATTTTCACATACTTGGGAATAATGCAGAATTTGCATTCTCAAAATTTTGAACTATATTTTGTGAAGTGAATATGGATCTGGAGGGAAAGGAAGAGGGGCGGAGGGGTGAAAGATAAAGGTGTTGGACTGACCTGGGCAGGGTCTAGGTGATGTGCATGCCAGTGGCGCTTCATAGGAAAGCTGTCTGAGATGGGGCCTCGTGTCTGTTGGCTAGAGTCAAGTCCTGCTAGCCAGGTTAATTTAGAACTGCCCAGGCTGAAGGAAGAGTGAGCATTTAGACTCGTCCTTATTATTAAGGAGCTTCTCTGTATTTATTAATTTTCCAGGCAGAAGCTCTTTCAGGTTTTTTGCCAATTCCTTATTGTCTGTGCTGGCTTTCACATCTTTAACAAGAACAGCAACAAAATGCTATAGTTCAAATATCTGAAACAGTAGCTATTGTACTGCTCCTAAAATCTCCTTAGACTACATGGTTTGAACAGGAATTGTTGACATTCAACAACAAAAAAAAAGTGCATTAGAGAGCCAAAGCCTGCTGTGACGCTGCTCCACTATTGCCAAGGAAAGTTAGTTCTTTGTGGGCAAAGCCAGCCCTGCCCAGTAACAGTTGCTACGCAGGGAGCTGTATTAGGGCTGGAAGGGCTCACTTCATACAACCCTCCTTCATCATCTGCCCACAGCATGTTGCTGAGCTGTCAGCGTGTGTGAATCCTAATCTGAAGGCAGATGTTTCGGCTAATTTGGTAAAAAGTAAAGGTCAATGATTTTTCTGTCTTCACTGGCCTCTATGTTTTCTGTAGCAATGACAAGCATTTTGCCTGCAAGCAAGAGATCTATCAGGAATAGAGTTCCGACATTTTAGTAACTGTGTTACAGAAAAATCCTAGAACACCACAATGATTAGAAGTCCCAATCTGGACTCCTTTGTTTGTTGTGCAGTATGTTCAAAAATAATCCCACCACCATCTTCCAACGCTACTTTTGATCGGATTCGGGAGTATAAGCCTTTCAGAACACGTTATTACACTCATAGTGATATACTGGGTAAATTTGTTTCTGAAATCCTTTCCTCACAATCTGAGATTTAGGAAAACTCCAATAGCTGTTGTATCCACCTGTTCTTGACAGTCATGAAAGCATTTGCACCTTGGTAAGAAAGAACTGCACTTACCTTCTGAATATTAATAAATCCAGTATGTTCAGAGAAGAGACAGGGTCAGCTGTCCTGTGGTGCATGAAGGCATTTGGATTTGGGATTAATGAAGTGCAAAAGAGAATTAGCTGTAAGACCGTTAGCAAATGTTTTCTAAGGCTCAAGTAGTTTGGGAAGAACTATGCTTGACTTAACATTTGCAAAGGTCATCCCCTCACCCTTCACGAGGACATAGCTGGGATGTTTTATCCTGAATCCTGCCTTCTTATACCTGATTCTGACTGCTGATTGAGGCTCTGTAGAGCCTCTTGAGGTTTGATTTTTTTTCTGGCATACTGCAATCATAACAATGAAGGAAAGCATATGGTAGCATTCATATGTTTGAGGATCTAGCAAGAATCTGAAGTATCTTTATACGCCACGCCTAACTGTCATAGAGCTTTCTGATCAGCAGTGTAAAGTTTTGTAGAAATCATGTTGTGCATTTTAATTAATGTGCGTTGTGAAGAGGAGTGTGCTTGGTTTCTATTTTAAACAATATCAAGAGGTTATCAGTGTACAGAGAGCCCGAGCAGCAGCGTGAGTACCGTCCGTGTCTCAGAACACGAGGCTTCAGCCCTGCGTCGACACACGGAGTAAAACACGCCCGAAAGACCGGAGGCAGTCTCTTTTTAAATTATTTTCTCTTTACTGCTTAATGTAACGGACTGGGGAAAAGCTATGCAGTCACAGCACAACATGCTTGTTGCTAAGATTTATGCACTGTTGGACTTCTGTTTTGCTGATTTAAACCAGTTGATCCCTTTGTCCCATCCTGCTACTGTTTTCCAGGTACTTAGCTCCATGTGTTAGCTCCGTAAGAGGACTCTGCGCACCCATGTGGAGTGGGGAAGAAGACTGGAGTGAAAGAGGGAGACTTAATCCTCCAGTGGCTGTGTGAAAGTTAGATCGCCTGTGGCTCTATTCCTGTTCCATTTTCCTTTGTAATAACCCAGGAGAATGTGACTCTCTGGCCCTGTCAAGCACAGAGAATGGGATCCAAAGCAATGCCCAGGCTTGGCACTGAGTAGGAAAGGGAGAGGGGGGAGGATCTGAAATACTACTGGCGGGGGGGGGGGGGGGGAGTTTTGGGCATCTTTATCCACCTCCCTCTGCAGTGACTTCTCTTCTGGGCAATCCTTGATGCTGAAGACCAGCCTTTCAAATGAGTTAGCAGGGCTACGTGTTTGCTTTCACAGCATGTCCACAGGAGGAGATGGTGATGCTGACGTCTTACTTAGACCCCACCCATGTTGCCAAAGGGAGCACCCCTGGCCTAGGCCCTGTGAAGCAGTGTGGCTTGGCTCCGTGGTGCTTCTCTCACGCTTTCTAGAAGGGAATACATGTGCTCCTGCAGCACTGGGGCTGCTTGGGCCCTGGACAGGCACAGCAGCCCTGGAGACACAAGGTTTGCTTTGTATATGCATACTCTGTTCCAAACACCTGAAATATTCTCCGTAGCCCCCTGAGAATATTTATTGTGTGCCACAAGGGTGGCATGAAGGAATCTGAGGGCATCTCGAGGCAAGAGACGTGGCCGAAAGCCTTGGAGGACTCTGAGGGCACAGGGAGCCGAAGAGGGCGCTGTCTCACCCGTAGCCTCTAAAGGGAGCAAAGCCTTCCTCACAGTTGCTGCAAAATTCAGCTGCAGACAGAAATGGGTGAATCACTCCCTAGAAGGCTGAGGACTGACCCATTTCTTGGGTCGTGTGGATGGCCATCAGGACAAGGAGTCAGGCAGGACACCCATGCTGCTCTCCTGTTGTGCAGCCTTGCCTAGGGGGTGAGAGTGGGGTTCAGCACCTTCCTATTAAATTTATGGAATTGCACAAGCAATAATAATTGTGGTTTCCTATATGTGAAATGAGGGTGCGTGTTTTTTAGCCTTTTGATTTTTAATTCAGCTGTGGAGTCGGGAGAGAGGCAGGGGTTTCTGCAGGCTGGTTGCTGTCCATCATCTCTGTGCAGAGATTGGAGCAGACATTCAACAAAAGCAACATGAAAAGAAGGAAGCAGAGATACAAGAGTACATTGAAAAAAATGAAAGCTGAACTTTGTTCTCAGGTAAACTAAATTATGCCCCTGTCATTTAAATGCTGATTATTCTTTGGAATAATTGCTATAGCATAGACAGTTAATAAAGAGCTTTGAGGTCACTGGTATAGAGCTGTCATTAATTTCAGCTCCTCCTTTGTTCACAGGTTTCTGGGTGCACATATTTCTCCAGTTTCTGACCACAACAAAGCATACTTTGAATTAGTAACAAATTTTACATCTGGTCTCAGAATGGCCTCTAAAGCACACAGAAGTTACTGGTTGTTAAAGCAGTTCCCCATAGTGTTATATAAGATTCTGAAACTGCCCTTTATGTTATATATATGTATAATGGTTACAACTGTGGCGGCTCAATGCTATTGTGTGGCCACGTTTTAACAGGAATCACTGCAATAAAATTGCCAAATGGGCCAAAATGTATTTTGCCATCTGGTTTTAAATTTAACTTGCTCCCATTTCTTAAATAGAAAATACAGAACTATGGGTTATGTAACCTCTGCTTCATCTTAATAGGATAACAGAATGTGAGCAGCTATACTTAAATAATAACTTGTTTTAAAGGCTGAAATGCACAAGGAAGATGCAGTGGATAAAGCTATCAAAGAGGCAGCTGCTAACCACAGTGCATTTGTACAAGACCCTAAACAAAAACTTGGAAAGGAATTAAATATATGAACCAGTTTGGTTTCATTACATGCTGGAAATAGCCAGCATGAAAGAACCATGTGTCTGACAACCAAGAATGTCATTCTGTGTAAAAAAAAAAAAAAGTTTTATTTTAATACTTGCCATAACCAGGACCTTCATTCATCTGAGATTTGAACTTTAGTGCTAGGAGACCTTGGCTTGAAAGGTGACTTCAACTTGGCCTGAAAGATAACTGGCTTTGTCTTTGTGCTAGATGAGACATGAGCTTGAGCTAGCTGGATTTTTAGTTCACTTTCAGTACATTTCACATTTTTTTTAATTGAATGAAGTTTGTGGACTTTGTTCAAAATCCTTTGTCAGGCCTCGATTCAGCCAGCCACTGAACCTGATTAGGTGCTTTCCTTAAGGGCAGTTAAATATGGGCTTAACTTTAAATCCGTCTTGAAGTTTCACATCCATC